ATCAAATACACAAATACTTTCACTCGTCCGTCCCCACTCCCCTCTTTCTCTCTCTTTTGCTCATAAAAACATATATACAAAAATACACAAACACATTCTCACTCACATCAAAATTCGTAGAACCTTTGAACAAAGAAATAATTCAGAGTAAAAAACGAAGAGAGAAATGACACATAATACATACACACTCCACACAAAGGTAACAAGTCAGCATGATGATGACCACGTCACACAAACAACCTTAATAAAACGCAGACAAGTCGACGTGATTACGACCACGTGACTCAAACTGTAACTATAGTAAGCCCAAGAACAAAAACATGTGATTGCAACCACGTGATACAAACGACAATAACAAGCACCAGTGACAATTGTGTGGTGATGATCTCGTGACACAAACTGTAACTTAAGCTTGCCCAGGTTACAAAAGTGATTACCATCATTTGATACAAACGACCACATTTGTGCACACAGATACTTTTTATTTTCAATGTTTCCATGCCGCTATTGACACAATTTAGATAATTTCGAAGGCGTCGGCGAGATATGTGACGACGATCACGTGACATAAACAACCCTGGGAGTTCACGTGACAGAAACAAGCATAAGAGTTCACGTGACATAAACAACCCTAAGAGTTCACGTGACATAAACAACCATAAAAGTTCAAGAATGATGAAGATCCCGTGACGCCAACAGCCACACACAAGCCTATTAAAGAATTAGTAGCCACAACTCATTCGTTTAGTTTAGTTTTAGTAAAGGTTTTACGAAGCTCGCAACTGCATAAGGTCGTATGAGCGCCTGAAGATTAGAGGTGTTGCAAGAGAGTAACAAACATAGAAAAGAAGAAGGGGAGATAAGGACGATAGATGTTTGATAGGAAAGAAGAAGCAAACCACACCAGAGCACCCGCCAACCACCCACTACTCATCGGTTTCCCATCCGAGATGAGGATCACCACGTGACACAAACAACCACACACAAGCCTATTAGAGAAAAAAGTAGAAACAACTGTTACTCACCGGTTTGTCGTCCGGGTCCCAGAGCCGCCTGGAAGGTCTGAGTGTCTTGTCCCCGTCGTGGGTGTCCCACACAGAGACGCTGATGAGCTTAGCACTGAGGGAGTGGCGGCGGGGGCCGGGCCGGGGGGAACACACCAGGACAGGTTCCGGCGGAGACATGGGGCTCGAGGATGGTGCTGTAGTTGTTGTTGATGATGGTGATGATGGCGGGGATGATGCTACTGCTAGGGTGGCTGCTGCTGCTATTGGTGGCGGTGATGGTGGTGACGGGGATACTGGGCTGGTTACTGTTGCTGTTGTTGTTGATGATGATGGTGATGAGGATGATGTTGGGGATTCTGTTGTTGCTGTCGGTGGTGAGGACGGTGATGCTTTTGTTTGTGGTGGAGGGGATGAAGGTGGGTGAAGCGACGGTGGTGTTGGTTGTGGGGAGAGTGTTGGTGGTGTGGTGAATAGATTTGGTGGTGTGGATAGGTTTGGTGGAGGAGATAGATTTGGTGGAGATAAGTTTGGAGATGTGGGGGTTGCTGCAGCTTCTGTTGAAGTAACTGGCATTGTAAGTGTTGGTTTTGTTGGTGGTGTCGACATGGCTGAAGGTGATGTTGTTGCTTGTGGTGGTAATGGAGTAGTTGTCGATGATGAAGATGACGTTGTTGTAGTTGTAGAAGCCGGCACTACAGACTGTGTAAGTGATGATGCTGTTGTTGTTGGTTTGGATGTGGATGTGGTAGTGGATGCAGCAGCAGCAATATCAGCAATATCCTGAGCATGCCCCGAGGTTGTTGTCGGTGGTGAGTATTCCAATCGCTTGTGAAGTCCCCGCCCCTCAGGCATGGAGATGGACGTGGTGGGCGGAGACTGGGCGTCACGTGATGAGTGAGGTGTCGAGATATCCAGATTGGTGGGGAGACATTGATCTAGTCCACTGGAGGGAAGGACGGACGATACTGGCGGCACATGTGCACTCACAGCGGAGTCTGAACGCGTCGAAGACACCGTAACATTTGGAGATTTCAGCTTAGAAACGACAGTTTCCTGAGTTATCTCGCTATCTTGTGAGCTGACCTTTGAACTGGTAGAGATAGAAACAATGTCGTGTGTGCTGTGAGCAGCTATTGGGGGCGTGGCTTTGACATCATCAGATTTGGCAGATCCCAATGTGGACACAGAAGGAACAGAAGCGTCATCCTGCGGTGTCACAGATTTTGGAGGAAATCCGGGAATAGATGTGATTCTCCTCTCTGGCGTCGGTGTTCTTAGTGGAGATTTGGACACGGCTAAAGGACATAACTTTATCACTGGAGACGGAGGTAAGACCTTCTCCCTCACCGGGCTGAGAGAGCCTGAAGGGGACGGTTCTTGGCTCAAATCTTCTTTTGTTGCGTCGATGTTAGCCCTGGGGCTATCGGACAAAGGTGAGCTCGGTTCAACAGAAATTGGCACAGGAACTGGTCTAGTTGTTCGAGGGAACCCAGACACACTTTTCGGCATGACAGGAGGTGGGGCACCACGTGGTTTGACCGGTTTTATCTGGTTCTGTTTGACACTCGCAAGTCCATCTGTGCTGTTGGTCACAGGTAGACTGTCGTCATCTGCGTGTCTCCTCTCGGACAGTGACATTTGTCTCACCTCCGCCACACCCCTCTCCCCGTCTTGAGTGTCTGACGACGTTGTTTTACCACCACAAGGAACTCCCTTCTGACTTGGCCTTGGACTCCCATGTTCCGTTGGCCTTTTGAAGGCTACGTCCTTGCGTACGGCAGCCATATTGTTTGTGTTGTTATTGTTATTGTTGTTGTTGATAATACTGTTCGTGACGCACCGCTGTTCCCTGGACCTCTGCAGATGGCCCATGCTCGGCGAGGTCGCTGCGATAGACTTCTGGAAGCGCTTCAGACTCTCGGCCACTGTCGGCCACGTATATTTCTTCCCTGGTGCCTTCTGGTCTTGGTCCTCACTAGGGGGTGGCATGTCGGGGGGAACGCCCTCTCTCTCGCCCTCGCCCTCGCCCTCGCCTCTCTCTGCTGGCCCAGCTCCGCTCGCGTTCACCGCAACGAGAGAAGTTTCGTCTGATTCATGTTTCTCACAAGCGAGTTTGTCGGAGACCTCAGATAGGTTACGACTGACACTCGCTGTGTTGACTGGGGGAAGAAGACCCTCTTCCAAATCATCATCATCTTTTTTCAGGCTTAAAGACCCATGCCTGGTTGATAAGCTTACAACTTCAGTGATAGCGCCCCCTGTCGGTGATAACACAGTGGGCATTTGCCCTTCTCCGCCGCGCTTATCGCTGTTTTCTTGGCTTAAACACATTCCAGAACTCTCGGGGAAGCTCGGCGTTTCTCCAACTGTACCCCGCCGACCCGTGGTCGGTAGATGGCTCTCGCTGTCGGAATTATCACCCGGGCTCCCTGACGGGGGTACTGACCCCGCTCTCCGCACGTCCACTCGACGTGACATGCTGGCTGAGCTCATGTTTTTCCCCCGAGGCTCAGAGGAAAACTGATCAGCTGATCTGTGTGAAGCGTTAGACAAGACAGGGGGTTTGTTTTGACTGTCAGCTGGGGCGGCCGTGTGACATTCTGACACGAGATTCAAACCCTTCTCATCCACAACCGTAGCACCATAACTACTTTTCTGTTTTTCTGCAGCTTGCGTACTTCGCTGAAAGCCCGTGGACTTCACCTCCCCGTCTTCGCCATATTTCGTTGACAAAGCTTGCTGTAAAACCACTGCCGATTTTTCTCCCTTTTCTAGCTCTCTCATCTTCACTACAGAATTAGCTGGCGGAACATCTCGTGTCTCATCTGTATCAATAGACTCCTGTATCACAGACGATGAAGGGGCAGGGATGGGTTTAGTCGAGTTACCCTGACTGACGTCTGGGGAAAGTCCCTTTATTGCCGGGCCAGGTTTTGAGTTAGTTTGTGGCGAGTTGGCGAGGAGAAGTTCCCTACCTCTGGTCGGGGAGGTAACTCGATCACCCCCTGGTGATAAGACGCCAGCGCTTCCCCTTTCCTCTCCTCTCACATTGCTTTGTGCGAGGCCACCGGTTGGGAGTGCAGGTATCGGGAACAAAGAGATATTATTATTATGGGGAACCGCCGCATCACGAGATGGCCTTTGTTCACTTCCCCCTTGTACCACCACTGGCGATTTTGCCTCTACATTAATTCGCTCTTTCTCCTCAAATGGATCTCCACTACCTTTTAAACTACTTTTTCTCACACTTGTCCCAACCTGACCGGAACAGCTTTGGTCCTCAGAGAGACAGATGTTTCGAACTTGAACCACTGGGGACATTTCTGCTGACTTGGCGGTTTCATCAGAGGTTTGTCTCTCTCCAAAATTCCGTGGTCTCACCGCGGGTAGCTGTGGCGAGGAGACTCCATCGATAACCTGTTTATCCCGGGTAGAATCGACATGTCTCTTCGAAAAATCGATGTCACTCGATTGAGACACACCATTACCCGAGACGGCTTTCACGAAATTCGAAACTGTCCTTTGGTCCTGTACCACTGTGCTCGTGTTCTCTGCGCCGGGTATTCGATCGAGACTCTCTGGCCGAGGGCGAGAATTCACTGCGCACATTCCTGCTACTGTTAAGACTTTCCCAACAACCGGAACCGTGTCAGTTTTGTTATTTGCGCCCTCGGTGGGGACTTGTGACCTGGTTACGCAGGAGTCCTCCAGCTGGGATAAACTATTCCCACTTCTAACTGTACCACTGACCCCGATCTCTGAACTTGACCTAGTCTTGAAACTCGCCGCTCTGTCGGTGACTGTGCCGTCTGTGAGGCCCGCGGGTGGAGTTTGTGTTGGCAAGTTGAGGGTGTTATTGCCCCTGTCTCCGACATTAGAGGGCTCCACTTTCGACACTTCACCCTCCACAACACTCTGCTTGCCTCCCACTTCCTGTTCCGGTTGTCCTGTTGTGACAACAACATCACGTGACCTGGCTGTTCCTGGGCCACTTCCGGAACTCTCCACACCCGTTCTGTTATCAGAAGGAGAGTCAAGCTGGCTGAGTGTTGTGCTTTTTCTCGGAGACTTTTCTAGAATCAACTTAGGCGAGGTACTTCTCACCCCAAGCACTTCACAGACTTCCACATCTGGAGATGTCGAGAATTCTTTCTCTGCAGAAGAGCTGTTCGGATCAAACTCCTCATCTCCCCTTATCATTGCTGATTCTTTCCGTAACTCGTCCAAGTATATCTTTTTCCATATCCCAGCGTCCCCCCTGGCCCATTTGTACTTCCTGGGTGGGGTGGGCGAGACGGGGGCGCCGGGGAGCGGGTTTTTTCCTTCCTCTTGACCACTTAGTTTCACTTTGAGCGACTCTCGAATGGCGACCACGCGCGACTTTTTCACAACCGACTTCCACCGACTAATGGCTTTCATGCCTTTGCACAGAGAGTGAGTACTTTTTGGCTCTGTGGTGGGAGAAGGTGAGTTCAAAGCCACGGCAGATGTCAGGATTTTCTTCACGAGATCAAGATTCCCGCTCTCTTCTGGGGGAACAGGAGACTTGGAGCGAGCGATATCTTGCGGCGGGGCGTCTCCGGAGGATATTCTCCTCTGTAACTCATGGACTCGTTCTAGGATGAGGGGACTTTTTTCCCTTGCTGGGTCTCGCTCTCTAGAGCCGTCTGGACGAGACGGGGACACGGAGCGACGCGTCAGCGACCTCCGCGGGGTGTCCGGACTCAGTTGAGGGGTCAAGGTCGCACTTGGGTCACTTATCCCCAAAGGTGACGTCATTGGGTTGTGTGCATGAGCCAAAGTATCAGCTCCAAGTTTTCCCTCCACCAGTTTTAATGAAGCTCTTTCGTTTTTTCCATAATTCTGCCCCGGGGAGGCTGGGCCAGTGACCTTTATGTGACCTTCCTCATCCACCAGCTGACAGACAACCGATACCTGCACGGGGCCACGCGAGCCACCCACCACGGACTGACCAGTAGAACATGCGGCTCTCTGGCTGTCAGAAAACACAACGCCACTACCACCACCACCACCACCATCGGCTACTCCAGACCTGTCTACCGAAATACCACCGACCTCTGAGACAGACGTTTTGGCTCCACCAACACTCGTGGAAGTTTGGCGTTTTTCCGCTTTATCGCGACGAGGGGATGGTGGAGGAGGCACGCGTCCTAACACAGGGGTCATCGCTTTGCACGGTTCACTGCTGCTAGAATCCGAAGACGAAAATATCCCCGAATTCACTACACTTTGCACGGATACGGGCGGTTCTGTTTTGTTATCCTCTTCAAGAGGCGAGTGCTCACCCGCTCCTACCTCCTTCTCCTCCTTCTGTCTGTCTGATCTACCCCTCGTAACGTCCTCTCCATCCACAGAAAGAGGTTTCTTACCCTTGTCATTGACATTCACCTCGTATGTTCTTTGAACCCCGAGGGTGTCGTGTTTCCAAGAATTCTTCTCATAACTCGCGTTTCTCCCATCAGGAGGTAAAGGGGCTGAGATTTTTTCCGTATTGTTGCTCACACCGCTTGTGGTAGTGCCGTGACGAGTGCTGTTTTCAGCGACATCAAGACCCTCGTTGACTTTATTGCTGAGCACACGATCCGGCACTGCAACAGCCTCGGGGCTTTGTATGTGAGAATTATGAGAAGTAATACAATCTTGCTCACCCTCCTCGCGACCCGCCCGTGCATGGGTTAACAGGCCTGGGTCGTGAGCAGACAATAGACTCGAGGAGGCTGTTGCACGTGCATTCATGAGAAGAAAGCCTGATGAGGAAAGCTCTTTCTCCTTCCCAGATGGTTCGTGTTGAGGAGCTACGGACGACGAGGGGAGGAGAGATTTTGTATTGTCAAGGTGAGTAGCGTGGGGTTGCTCACCATTACGTATACCCTGAGCCTGCTGGTAATTGTCGGCCGCTCCCCCCACCGCGCACGTGCTTACACACATCTCGCTCTCACGCGCCGAGGACGGGAGGCCAGTTTGATGATGAGCTAATGACTCGAGCGGGCGGAAGGCGCCGCAGGTTGTGATATGACCGCCACCACACACAGGCGCGTGCGCCGTGTCGGCGGCACTCACGGTCTGGGGAGCAAGTTTTTCCCTCCCCTCACCTAACTCTTCTGACCCCCAGCCACTTAACACGCCTTGCTTACCTCCTTCCACTGCTCCATCGCCTTCATTTACATTGCAAGGGTCAAGATTTACAGATGGATCAAAAGAGGTTTTGCCCCGGTCTACATCTTCCCTTCTCTCTGCAAGGTCAACCACAGCACCACAAACAACTTCTCCAACGTTCATAACTTGACCAAGCTTGGAGGAGGTAACATAATGTACTGGTTCAATTCTGTTCTCCCCACTTACCCTGAAGAAGGTATCCTCTCCCCCACGCCCTTTCCCTCCGCTGACGTCAGAGTTTTCACCAAGCATTTCAGTTCTACTATATCCAGAGCTTGGCGGAACAGAAGACATGCGTGATTTATCTATGTCTCCAACAGAAAACACACGAATCGCATGTCCTACATTCTCTGCTTCGGTCTCTCCTTTATTTCTCCCAGTCTCACATGAATACAACTCGGGGTTTTTGATTAAACCCTCGTCCATTCCCACTCCTCCGTCTCCACCTCCCCCGATATCGCTCTTACCATGAGCAAGGAACATACGAGCACTCTCACTGTCCTGACTGACCTTTGTCGTGCTATTAACCCCAAGCGAGCGATTCCCCGAAACTACAACAGACACGGGTAATTCTTTCCATCCGTCCGTGTGCTCCACATTACTACCACCGGCCGAGCTACTCAAACCGTCACACGACGAGCTCACACTTCCGCTCTCTCGCTCTGGTCTCTCGTGAGTAAAGTTACCACTGCCGTACTCCGAGTCACTCTGAGACAAGTGAACGTACGCGGATTCCGAATCGGGTAATTCCGGAACGGGTGATCGCACGTCCGAGATATATCCGCTTTCAAATAAGCTTGTCTTGATATCTTGCCCGCTGAGCGATGTCAGCATTTTAGACTGCGCTTGTTGTTGTTGTTGCTGTTGCTGTTGTTGTTGTTGTTGCTGTTGTTGTTGTTGTTGAAGATGCTGCTGTTGCTGTTGCTCGAGACTTATCCCGTGTAAAACTCCATCGATTACTGAAGGAATATTCTCATCGTAATGAGAAGAGTCAGAGGAACTGTCACTTTCGACTGACCAGGTCTTTTCGATAGCCAAAGACGACTGCGGGTGGTGGGTGTGTCTTCGGACAGAGCGGACTTCATGTCCCGCTGACCTCCGACCTCCACTACCAGGGGTCTTCTCAACTACTACACACGAGCCACTACTGTGAGAATTGTCATCGTGGTGTTTCGGAGGCGGCCTGGTTCCCGGTGACGTGTCACGTGACGTCACGACCTGTTTCCCACTACCAGCTGTTAAGCCGCTAGTCACCAGCCCGCTCTTTGAACCACGCAGTTTGACCTTGTTCTGTTCCGTGACCTTTTTGCTGTTTCCGGTGCCCGAAACGCTTGTTGGCGGTGCACGAGCAATGCAGTCGTCGCTTGCACTAGGGGCAGGGGCAGGGGAGGGGGCAGAGGACTCATCATCCTCATCCGCTTGGAAACGTTTACTTTTTTCCAACCACTTCCCTTTTTTCTTGGTAACCACGGGGCTGCTGCTTCTGCCTGACTGCTTCTGACTTTTGACCTCGACTTTCTGCATTTTATTCAGGCTCGATTGTTTTGGTTGTCCACCCCCACTCGTGGTCCCTTCGCCAGTGGACGATGACGATGACAGGGGTTTGGGGTGGACAGGAGGTGCTGCTGACCGCTGTCCGTGGATCGAGGGGGTGATTTTAGTGGGTGGGCGTGGTAAAGTCCGACCTGAGCCTCCCGTGTGTGCGACCTTGACCTCGCCCGTCTGCTGCTGGTTCCACGGCACTGTCTTGTGGGGGTGGGGCTTAGGATTTTGCGTCGTCTCATTTCCTGATTGAGCGATCTTGGCTGCCTGGGTGTGAGGGAACGAGACCTTGGATTTCTCTCTGTCACCAGATGGCGGTAATTGTTGTTGTTGATTTGAGCGAATTGGCACGGTACTTTTGCCTTGAGCGGTTTGTTTCTGTTGTTGCTGTTGTTGTTGTTGTTGTTGTTGTCGTTGTTGTCGTTGTTGATGCTGTTTAGAGTGATGTTGAAGTGAAGACTGATGTTGTTGCTGTTGTTCCGTTCGACTTTGAGCCTGTCCTGAATGGGTTGATGAATCTCGTCTCGCACGAGTGGGGTTAACGTTAACAATATAGGAAGACGTGAAAACAGAAGGGGAGGGACAGCGCCTCGTCGTATCGGAAATGGCCACTTTGGCAGAACTCATCGGTTCCACAGACATAGAGCGCACTGGTAGATTTGAGTGAACCTTATCGCCCCTTGACCTTCTCTGACGGGACGGTCTCTCACAGGTCGATGTGAGCGATGATAAGGACGACGATGACAATGATGAAAATGACGGAAGAAGAGATTTTGGCACCTGTCCTAAAGCCAGGTTTGAACTGACATTTGAGCCGCAGTAAGCTACTGAATATTCGGACAACATACCTGGACGAGGTTGTGTATCTTGCTCCGAACTGAGAATCAAAGTGGCGGTTTTCACAACAGAAGACTTAAGCACCATAGAGGTACTGCTAGCACCAGGCACACTCCCCACCTCACGCACATCCCTCTCCTCAGAACTCCGAGATAATCCACTAGCGGTGGTCAGCTGTTGGCTACTACTACTTTGTGAAGCACGTACATCCATCACCTGTGAAGTGACCGCTTGGCTGTGTGGGTCTCCACTCACCATCGATTGACCGTGTGTTGGGTCAGGCTGGTGAGGTGACAGTTCCGTCCCCTCTCTCGTGTCGCGTGCCCGTGAGCCGCTGTCGCCTGTGAGCTGTGCCGGTGTATGATAATGTCTGTCGGACGACTCATCACCGTCCCCTCCCGCCCGCTGGCCTGTCTGGGTGCCAGGCTGAGGGCACGGCCACCGAATACTACGTTCACTCGACACCACGCGCGACGGCTGGGGTTCCAGTCCTGGTGGTCGTTTTGTCGTGGTGGGGGTGACGTTGGGGGTTGGGATAAGGGGGTTGGTAATGGGGGTTGTTGGGGCGGCGGTAGCAGTGGTGTTGGGGGCGGCGGTGGCGTTGGGGGTGGAGGTAGGGATGGCGGCAGAGTGAGTCGGTTTACTCACCCTAGCTCTGACAATAACCTGAGCTCGTCTTTCTTCACAAACCTCCACCCCTCGTTCCTGTGTCGTCGGCGTCATGCCGTAAGGGAGGAGGGGCGGTTGGTGGGAGATGTGACTGGCCGCTGCTCTATTCCCAAAGACGTGTTGAGTGTGTGGCTCACGGGTTGATGATGTGGTGGACACTGTGAGCGACGTCTGGACAGAAGATGTAATGTCCACTGTAGCATCACCGCTGGACGTCTGGTACTCCTGCACGCTTATGTGTCGTTGTTGTAGCTGTTGTTGTTGTTGTTGTTGTTGTTGTTGTTGTTGCTGTTGTTGTTGCTCTTGATGAGGATCAAAGTTCGACGATAGTTGTTTGGAAGAAACAACTCGGTGCGGTTGTCGCTGTTGTTGCTGTTGCAACTCTCGTCGTTGCTGTTGTAGCTGTTGCTGTTGTACACTCACTCGAGGCGTGGATGTAAGCGGCATGTTGCTGTCCAAGTACCTCTCCTCACTGCTGCTGGCCCTGGTGTGTTCTGTGCTCCGAGCAACACACTCTCGGGCCGGACTGCTCCCCGGCGAGTGTGCATCTAGCCACGGATCGTCCTCTGATCCCTCTCGGATTCTCCTCGCCATGCCCTCCCCCGCCCGGCTCGTCCCACACCCTTCAAATTCCGCCATCTCACGAGTGAGCGGCGCCGCGGCTGCCAACAAGATATCGGAAGTAGCCGACTGAAAACTTGACTCAGAACTGGCATCCGAGTCATCCATACCGTCTCCTCCTCCTTCTCTTCCATCACCTTTTCCTCCTTCTCCTCCTTCGTTCTTTCCCTCCTTCATCCTGTCTGCTGAGCTAGTAAACCTCATTTCCTGGTCTCTCTCGATGTCGCTATCATTAACACTATCATAATCAGGACAGGCGCTATCACCCTCCGAGTCGCTCAGATCTCCGAGACCAGCCGAGTCGAGGTGTAGCGCGCTCTCCATGGCCGTGTCGTACACACTACGCTCACCCACCAACACAGTCGTGCCACCCGCCTCACATCCCAAATTACTCCTTCCTGCCTCTCCAACACCCTCCTCGAGGTTGTCTCTGTGTGTTTCCCCACAGTATATCTCCGACACCAAACCTCCGTCTCCTCCTCCTCCTACTTCTTCTAAACTTCTTTCTCCTCTTTTCCGCTGTTCATGTTCATTGTCTCTTTCCTCTTCTTCAACCTCCACCTCTCCTTCTTTCCTCCTCACCTCATGCACGTTTGAGTGTGGCACGCCGCTAGAAAATAATATATTGAAACTCCGTGGCTTCTCCCCCGTGCTATCTCCCGCTGACGGGAGCGATTCAGACCACGTCTTATCACACACCAGAGTTTTTGCAGCGTTGGGCGTCGCCCTATCTACTTTAGCTGGGAGATCCCTCTTCCCTGCCCTCCCCTTCTCCTTCTCCTCCTCCCCTTCTTCTTCCTCAGCGATACCTTCGTTTCCTATCTCTCCCTCCGAAACCAAAACATTCTCCCCCTTCGTATCTTCAGCAAACGACTTTATAGAAAGCTCCTCCGAGTTTTGACCAGAGCTGTTATCGTAATCATAATCACCATCTTCACACTCTTCCTGCGATTGTGCGCTGACCCCCTCCACGTCATCACAATCCCCATGTTGTTCACTTGAGAGGGATGGGAAATGGTCAAACTGACCATTGTTAATTTGGGTTTGAAATTGATCACCCTGGTCTTTGATAATGTCACGAGAGACAGCGGACGGTTCTAAGCAGCTACGTTTTGAGCAGTTACGATCAGTGTGCTGGCTGTTTTGAAGACCTGTATTGCAGTCGTCACTAGCATCATCGGCCCTTGCTTCAAGTCCAAGGCCCTGGAAAGCTGTTTCAGAGACGCGTGAGTCACTACCGGTACTTCTTGAGTGACCACTGTCCAGTAGTTGTCCAGATCTAGATGGACCCGAGTCCAACCCAGGTGTTGTTGTCAAGGATCGCTCACTATTATGTTGGACCTCATGGCTCCCACCCTCACTAACAAAGACGTGGTTATCGAAGTTTCTAGAACTGTGATTGTTATTATGTTCGGACGGAGATGCGTTTCTTGTAACCTCACACCTTCTATCTGAATGAACGTCCGATTTAGCGCTGCTGCCAGGCTCATCTATCGTGGAGGCCTGAAGGGCAGTGACCTTCATGACGTCATTATCAAGGAAGTGGTCAGCGGGGGATGGAGAGGGAGTAGGAAAGGAAGAACATTTACCTCGGTTTACGACGTCGTAGTCTTCTTCTCTTCTCTCTCTATCCATGCGTTGGTCAGCTGTTCTAGAGTGGTCATCGTCACTAACCAGAAGTCCGGCCACGTACTCCCGGGCATCGTACCGCTCCGCAGAAGACACACTTGTCACGTGACACACAACTCTATCAGTAGAATCCTCGTCACGTGATATCTCCTCAGTCACAGCGTCACCACTGACAACAATACGAGAAGTACAGGCATTACTCTCATCACTGTCACCGCGGCCGTGAGTATCCACCGAACGCTTACGAGTGATCAACTCTTGTTGTTGTTTTTGTTGTTGTTGTTGTTGTTGTTCAGGTCCCGATACGCACGCGCTTTCCCCTTCTACAACTGTCTTCGAGCAAATCGCGCGTTCACCATCGCTTCCTTGTTCTGCAGATATAATTTCGGCGTTGCTTCGCGGCGGCTCATTTCTTTGTGAGGGGTTTTTCGCTTCCCCCTCCCCTCGACTCGCCACGCTGAACTCGACCAGCCCTCGGCCGTTCAATCCCCGCGTGTATTCTCCGCCGTTTGAGGAAATACGAGAGCTGTTCGAGAGGTTTTCTTCCTCGTCGTAGCCTGCTGCTGCTCTCAGAATCTTTTCTTTGCCTCCGTTTATCGAGGCCTGAGCGAGGGGGGCAGGAGATTGAGGGGCAGGGGTGTGATGGGCGGGGTAGGGGGATGAAGAGGAAGACTCAGAGGGCGGGTGGGAAAGGGGTTGTGAGCGGTTTTCCGACAGCTCTGCGGGGATATTCTGTGGGTTGGGAGGGGAGGGGTGCGGCGTGGTTCTGGAAGGGAGCGGCTTTGAAGACGAAAGTTCCGATAAAACATGGACGGAGGGAGAAGTCGCGGCTGCTTCGTCACGATGTATGGGGAAAACAGACGTATCTGACGGGTGTAAAGCTAGCGGGGGTGCTGGGTTTTCGCGGGCGTGAGTGCTTGACGGGCCTGCGCTATCGCTGTCCACACGTGTGATCTCTACACCTGGTGGGACCTGGGGGGTGGCGGGTGGGGGAGATGTGGGTGTCACTGATGTTTTGGCCTTCAGTGTAGGTATACTGGCAACGTCATAGCCACTACTACTATTTTGTTGTTGGTTTTGCTGCTGCTGTTGTTGCTTTTCTTCTTCTTCTTCTTCTTCTTCTTCTTCTTCTTCTTCTTCTTCTTCTTCTTCTTCTTCTTCTTCTTCCTCCAAGCGCAGAGCTGATTCATCAGTGATTTTAGCATTTGTCAAAAATCCCTCTACCACAATCATTTTGTCTTTGGTAACTATTACATCATTTGCATCCACTTGGCCATTGAATTCTGAAGTCGCCGGTACATCATTCCGGCTCAGAACACCTGCCAACCCCTCTACTAAATCTCCACCGCCCGTGAGAAAGCGAGCCGGTCTCTGCCCGCGGTCACTCACCCCTGACCTCTCACTAGCCACAACCAGCACGTGGCTGCCTGTTTCACCTCTCTCATCGGCGGCGTCTCCCTCTCTCTCCCCATCCCCTCTCTCATCGGTGTCTCCCCGCCTCTCCCCATCACCGCCTAGAACCTCGACTTGTGTGGGCCCCTCACCTTCAGGCACATACCCGGAGGGATAACTCTGCCATTTCTCAACACTCGCGCATTTCGTTAAGTCTTCACCAGTTACTTCCCTTCTGCCATCTGCTGAGGGTGTGTTTTTCTTCTTTGCGCGCCCGCCACCAGACGCGAACGAAGCTCCAGTGTTTATCTTATTGCTCTTCACCTTAATCCTTCCTGCTTTTGTATCGGAGTTTCTATTAATGAACTCTGTTTCTCCCCGAGGCAAGGGCGCTTCGGTGTGTTGTTTGTTGTGGGCCATCTGCTGCTGTCTCGCGACCTTCCCGCCCTGTAAGGGGCTACCAGTTCTCGAGGCGATCTTCATCGTCTGTGATCCACACCTGGAGGTCGGAACTTTTGATGTAAGAGTCGTGTTTTTCTTGGCCTCAACGACACTTTTGTTAGAGTTGTTTGCACTCGTGGCTTTTCCAACAGATTTCGGATCTCTTGCCGACCTCGTTCCACGAGCCTCGCTGGGGTCGCTCGCGCGAGAACTGTGTGACGTCACTGAGCTCTTCACTGACGTAACAGAGCTCCGGCCTGACGTCACTGACGCAGTGTCATCGTCGAAGCGACTGTCGACAGAACTTTCCCTGGTAGAAGCAGCGGACGCAGACGAACAAGGTCTTGGGGATGGGGTTAACCTGGCTATTGAGGAGAGCCCAGCTCGTGTTTGAAGAGTCCGGCTCGATGTCGAAGTTTTACTTGAAACCGTCGATGATTTTCGGACTTGCCCAATCTTTGACGTCTTGGCCACCGAGGAAGATTTCTCAATTTTAGAAGTCATCTCGCTACCTTCTGTGGGTGTCTTCTTTTGAGTCGAGGCCGAGACAGGCTGTGTTTTCTTTCGACTTATACCGCTCCTTACAGCCTTTGCGGAGCCTTCAATAATTGCGTCCCCGAGTGCTTCGTTTGAAGTACACGTATTTCTTTTGGGGTTTTCTGTTACTTTAGCTGACCTAGCGGTGGCCGTTCCACGATCTTTTGAAGTTTGCTCAGGATTGGACAATGAAGACATTTTTTTGACAACATCTTTTTTATTTCCTGCTCTCGTAGGCTTGACATTTTTAACATCATCAATCGAGCGAGTTGGCGATTTTTCTTTGACGAGACCGTTTTCAATATCTTTGACATTTTTGCTCATCGCTGGCTTGCTTTGCCGGTGGCTCTGTTTACCTCCTCCTCCCACCTTAGTTTGACCTTTGCCCTCAGCACTATGGCGGCCACCTCCACTGACCTTTTCACTGCCTTCTGAACATTTGACCTTTCTCAGATTAAAGCCGCCCTCTTCTCTCTCCCCCGCGGACTGGGGACCGCTCGTTTCCTCAACTGCTATTATAGCCTGCACTTCACTCAGCTCGGTCCAGTCTGCGGGATCGATATGCCCGTTAATGTCCATGCTTTGTTCCGTTTGACCTGGTCGGCGGCCACTGTCCACTCCAGATAGGCGCCTCTCATCAGTCTCCGGGCATACCGCATCACCGTCGCCGTGACCTCTCACCTCAACGTCTATCCCAGACGTCACATGATTACATGAGATCGATATTCCTTTCCGGTCAGTGGAGGACAGACCCTCCTTCTCCTCCCTCTCCCCCTCACCCTCTCGCTGTATCGGACACTCGTCTTTCTCTTTCCAGAACTCGGGGGAGGCGATTTGATCAATGCTATCGGCTGTAGACACAACGGAAACTGCTTTAAATGCATGAGTCTCCTTGTTATCTCTTCCTTCCAGGTCTCCATCTCTGCCTCCACTTCGAGTGCCCAGTAAAGAACTCTTATCATTCTTAGTTTGAGCCTCAATTTTTTCTCCACTTTTCTTTGCGTTCACTTTCTCCTTTTTCGTGCCCTTAACAAGAATCCCCGATTCGTTAATTTTAGCAGCGGTAATTCCCGATTTCGTGCGATCCGCCGGTAATGAGGAACTCTTGGTATGCTTCACAGTGTTTGGTGCCTCGCTAGGTTGGCGCCTCGCCACGGGTAGGAGCGAGGGCGAGTCCCGGGAAGGTTGGCGAGGGTTCGCTGACTTGGTGGGTGTCGAAGGGTGGGGGATGGAGCGAGCTGATGATGATGAAGGACAGGGTGATAACGACGATCGTTGTGACTGCGGACGAGACGACGATGTTGTTGTGGTTGGAGGTACCATACGAATGGACGAGGATGAAGCAGATGGCGGCGAAGATGATAACGGTTGGGAAGACGACGATGACGGTGATAAAGGTGAAGATGCTTTAGACGAAGGTTTTAAAGTAGATTGACTAGTTTTAGAGGGGACATTTTTATCCACAATTTCTCTTTCTATAGAACTTCGTGTAGACGAAGCAGGGCTTCTGGAAGGACCTTTCTGGCCCCGCCCACCCGGTGGATTGACCTTGAGGGACATAGGACCAGGGGAACGAGAGACTGACCTCTGACCCCGAGGTGACGGAGAGGCGTTTCGTTTACCCGAACCTTCGTGCCCAAGAATGAACTTTTTGACCTCTTTCTCGAGGTCACCAGGTGATGGCAGAGGTGACAGAACGTCGGCAGATGACGTCACACCGTTCCCGTTACGTTTTCTGCTCACTCGGGGTGATGTAGCGGCAGAACCAGGTTCATTACAGATGTTCTCTTTGGTAGAAACCTTTCTCGAGATGGACGATGTTGTTTGGGTCTTTCGTGCGGGTTTACTTTTGCCGATGTCAAGGTCAGTTGCGTTACTGTCCGACTGAGTTTTTCTCGGGTGGGCGGGGTCACTTTTGACAGTCCGAAACGACGACGACGACGACGACGAGACATTCGACCTTCCTGTCTTGCTGACGGTAGCCCCAGTCACCCCGGCTTGTCTCGCGCTTTTCTCGCGTGTTTTCGTCGTCAAGGACGCCGCCGATCTGTCTCCAGGTGCTGTAGCCATCATGGCTTCTCCCCTGACACCTGTAGAACATTTCTTCTCCTTCAAAGCACCGCGCAAGGATTTCCCTTTCTGCGATGCGGCTCCTTGACGAACGAAACTCGTCGTCTTCGCAGAATCATCTCCCACCTGTTCTGAACACGAAGACTCCACACTGCTTTCTCTCTGCACATTACGAACAGTTGACCCACTAAATGTCGCTGTTTTATTCACTCTCTTTGTTGCTAAGTGCCCAGGTCTATTTATAGTCACCTTCTCCGCCATTCTCACTGAAGCGTTTGAGGGTCTTGGTCGTGTAACATTCCGGTCGGATTTTGGCGACAGAGAAGAAGAGGAAGATTTACGACCAGAATTCACTCTGTCTATAGGGATTGGTGGCCGGTAATTTCTCTCTGGAGAATACCGCGGTGGGGCGAACAGTCCTTTAAGATCGGCGGAAGGTCCGCTACTCGGGGCGTTCTGTGAGCCGGCGCACTGAGCTCCCCGCTGACGTAGTAGACTGGCCCGGGTGTGGCGCACAACGACACCTCGCCTGGGACTTCCGGTTCGTGAAGAATTCCGGTCGACGCTGGCTGTAGAGCGAGGGGAGCCTCCTGGCTCAGTAGACTGACCACTAGGCCAAGTAGTCGTATCGCAGTTACGTCTCTGGTCGCAGCTACGTCTGTGATCAGATGACGACCCGTGTGCCCCTCCGTCTCTCGCTGATCGCTTTTCTGTTTTATCACTAGCCCTGATTACAGCCTTCGATCTTCCTTCAACAAATCGAGTTGCGTCCCCTTTTGCGAAAGGCCTCAGACCAGGGTATGGCTTACCGCCTTTGCCGCTAATTCCTCCGGCCAAACGACGGCTATCCCGCTGATTACACCCCTTGACCCCGGCCCAGTCCGTCTCGCGTCCTTCGCGTGTGAGGGGAGGCGCGTGCTGGTCGACGGGCGATTGGCGGGTGTTCCTATCACTGGCCTCAGACACTGATGAGGAAGAGCTGCGACACCGTGTCCTGTTGGGGAAGTGGTGGGGTCTGGTTTTCCTCACATCCTGACACTGGTCGAGCCTGTGTCTTTGTCCACTCACACCACCCGCCGGTCTGGCCTTTCCCCTTCCTTGACCACTGGGAACAGCACCCCGGGTATTGCCTCTTGAGGCCCACGCCGAGCTTGGTTCAGATGAAAAATCTTCTCTCTTTTTCTCACTCGACGACTCGCTGGCATCATCTTCACCCTCTGCGTTCTCTCGTCCTTTTCCCGCGTTCTCTCGCTTCTCACATCTCGCTTCTCGTCCGTGCTCACGTCTCTCTACCACTTGACCTTCGCTTAGGTCCCTTGACGATGTCAAAGACCAGACACAGGGCGAATTTCCCGCGCGTGTATTCAAATGAGGGGAATCGTCCTCTTGTTCGGTCACTCGCCTATCTACGAGCGAGTCATTCACGAGTGTGGGAGAATCAGAATCTCTCGAGGCTGAAACAAGCGCAGTTTCGACTCCACCTTCTCGAGGGGTTGTGATAACGCACTCAGTGCCCGAGTCTAGTGCTGTGTGACACGGCGACACGTCATAGAGGGACGATGAGTCATCTACTGTGTTGAATCCTGCCTCCTTCTTTACCCGTTGTGCTGTGTCAACAAACACGCGCTCTGAAACACACTGTGTACTAGCACCTAGAGTGACACATTCCTGCGTGCCTTCCCTCTGAGTCGTGCGTTTGTTATCGTGGGTCCAGCCTGTAACTGTAACGATTTTATCACCTGTCGACAAATGGCCCGGTCCGTTTACGACAGATTCTTGCGTGGGAATTTGATCTCGACAAGTTCCCGAGCTGGAAACACAATCGCTGTCGTGAACACGGAGATCTGACGAGAGATGCGGTGGCTTGGTTGCGCTTTTGTCGAGGAATTGTTGCGTCTCCCGAGGGGAGCTCGAGGGTTGGTGACTCGGGACAGAGGGTCGATTGTCCCCTCTCAATTCTGCGACCCGGCGTTCTAGCGTGGGCGCGTAGAGAGAAGGAATGTCTCCTGCATTTGACAATGTCGCTCGAGTGGTGAACTCTTCAAAGTGGCTCGAATCGGCAGGTGATTTACTGTGGCGTGTGGGGTATACACTTGTAGGATGTGCTGTGATTGGTGGGGGATCAACGACGTTCTTCTGGGCTGTACTAGAGTCATAGAAAGTTACGTTGCGGTTGCTGTTGATATCACTGTTATTGTTGCGACTGAAACTGCAGCGACTGTTGCTGTGGTTGTTGTTGTTGCTGCTGCTTCTACTGTTGCTATTGTTATTGTTATCGTTGTTATTATTGTTATTATTGTTGTTGTTGTTGTTGTTGTTTCCGTTTGTGGTGTTATCTACGAAGATATGACAGTTTCCTTCAGCTCCAACAGTCTTAGATGCTGCCCTGTCGTTGAGGGTGGTAACTGGTCCACTCACAAGAGTGTGTGGGGGTACAGGGGGATGGGAGCGGTTTGAGTCTGTGGGAGACACAGGGAAAATAAAAGTTATAATAACAGATAATGCCAGTAGCAGTAGCCTGCATCAAGGGTGATAGAGAGAGAAAGAGAGAGAGAGAGAGAGAGAGAGAGAGAGAGAGAGAGAGAGAGAGAGAGACAGACAGACAGACAGACAGACAGACAGACAGACAGACAGACAGACAGAGAAAGAGAGAAAGAGAGACAGGAAGAGAACGAGAGAGGGAGAGAGGAGGGAGGGGGAGGAATATATACAGCACCTGTTATAGCAACATCAAAGCTACAGCTGTCAACATGAGACGACTTTCAGATCGATAATACAAAGAAAGTTAAAACACAATGGAAAAAGGCTAGTCTCAAACAGCTGCTGCTCCCAGTGATAGAGTATTACAGATATGAATAGCCAACACTTATTACTGAAATAACGGTATCAGATATTGTCCGCAAGGTGTCAAAATGTATCAGGCCCACAAAGTAAAATTGTATAGGAGAGAGAAAACACTGTATCATTCTTCTAACAAATGTACCTACATTAAGTATTCTTTCTTGCTTTCTTGCTTTTTTAACATTATAACTTTAATTTTAATAACATAATTTTGAACACATCAACCGATAAAACAAATTAAAATAAAACTTTTAAAAAATAAAAAAATTTTAAGAATTTTTTTTGGCTAGGCACATTTATTGTACCAGATGGCTGACGACATGCCGGTACAAATCGTAACCTTAGAAGTACACAGTTCTATCTGATATTTACGGCCGTTTTGAGTTACTTAAATCATGAGGTCAGAAACCTTTAATGTTCCTTCTGCTCTATCAAAATTGTAAGATTATTCGGAGTCGTTACCCACTCAACGGAATACATTGGAAAAAGCTTGATGTGTTGTGAAAGTCAACATTTTGCTTGCCAAATTTCTCAAAAGTAGGTACTAAGTCTATAAAACGAAAAATTATAGAAAGTATGACTTTGGTAAGAATAAGACTGAATAAAACGAGAAACCGACACATTTTACGGTACTCAAAGCTACAGAACTATGCGTCCAGAGCAGAAAACCCTTTTCCATTTTTAAAAAATAAACAAAAACACACACGAACGCACATACACACAGACAGACAGACACACAAACATAAACGCATACACACACACACACACACACACACAGAGAGAGAGAGAGAGAGAGAGAGAGAGAGAGAGAGAGAGAGAGAGAGAGAAATAGAGGGAGAGATGTATCGCCCTTACACTTCTCCTTGTTTGTATTCGTTACTCTCTTGTAACACTTCTAATCTTACGTACTTATATGACCTAATTGTGATGCTTGAGTCGTGAAATTCTTACGAAAACAAAACACAAAAAGTAGCGGAATTAACTAATGTGTTATTAGTCGTTGCAGAAAAAAGGGTATAGAAGAATGAAATGATAAAAAGATAAATAGCCTACAGAATAAATGAAAACAGAAACAGAGAAATAAGCTGTAGTAAAGAAATACACCAATAAATTTTTTTAAAAAGAAAAAAGTGAAAGAATGAATGAATGAAAAATATAACTGAATGAATAATGAAAGCTGCACAAGTAAGTCAGGATAATTAACATAATTTGTTATGGTACAGAACTATCCGTAACAGGAATTCTCTTGAATAATATAATTCAAAGTCTTTGCCCTTGGTTCTATAGATGTAGATCCAGCTATCAAAATACGACTATCACATTACTGAGTGCGTGGGAACAGCGTCGCTTATATGACTCTGTCACGGAATTTGTCAGTTGTACTTTTTTGGAAAATTAAAGGGCTCTTCGAGTTTTCTCATAGACTAAAATGATAAAATCCTAGAACGGGCACTGCCATGGCCGCAGATCTTTTCAGTGAACAAAAACTTCGTTCTCTGTCTGTCTGTCTGTCTGTCTGTCTGTCTGTCTGTCTGTCTGTCTGTCTGTCTGTCTGTCTGTAGTCTGACAGTCCGTCTCTCTCTCTCTCTCTCTCTCTCTCTCTCTCTCTCTCTCTCTCTCTCTCTCTCTCTCTCTCTCTCTCTCTCTTTCCTATAAAACT